ATTACAGGCACATAATTGACTGTCAGCAGGAAAGGATGTCATGTTACAGCTCATAGCATACGACTGCATTAGGCAAGGTGTTCGCTGATTTGCAACAATGATTGCACGCTGAATTTAACATTAGCATCGAGATGCCATTTGCATAGGCGCTACTGTAGTTCTTTCAAAGTTTTCACATAAGCTTCAGCTCACTCTGGATCACCAGAGGCAGAGGTGATTATCAGGGTGCCATAGCCACATACCACACATATTTATCACTGTAAGCAGATAATTGGGTGTGAAAACCTTGGAGACAGGGGATAACAAATTAACCACGGAAAATAAATTAGATTCATAGCTGGTTTTGTAACCTTCGCTTGCTACAAATAAATTTAACAGGTTGTAAATGAAGTGATGCATTTTGCAACATGAGTGTCAGAGGCCATACCTGCTCAACACCTTACACTAACAGATTACATGCTGGGACCTGACATCATCACTTACATATTATAAATAATGTATTCACTATAGGGATAGTGCCTAAAACTATGGAGGCTAATTATTAGATTGAAATATATTCCATGTGTTACTGTATTTACACCTCATGACATTTTGGAGAGAACTCTGTGTTCCAAATTGCAAAGAAAAATAGGACCAAAAAAATAATACAAAACACAGACATGAGCTTCATCTATGTGGAACATACCTGATAGAGAACATTGACACTAACATACAGCAAAAGGTACCTGGCAATGGTGATGATCAGTAGATATGAGTTGAACCGATATCAGCTCTGGTACCTAAAATTCGGTACCCAACAGTGCTTTTTTTAAAATTAAATTTCTCTCTATAATAACAAAAATGTAATTTCATTTTATTAAAAAGAACTCCAACCTTCTCAAACTCAAAATTGTTCTATATTTCAGTGTAGCACACCAACACAGCCCTAAACTAACGCTGAACTAGCACAGTTTTCTTCTGTGCTTCACTGCAAACATTTCAAATCTCATTATTTTGTGACTTTGTAACCTGTGTGTGATGTCGGTCCAGTGTGGTATCACAGCACATAGCCACAGCCACTTTGTAGTGCATGCTGACAGAGGTGATCAAGTTACTGTAATCTGCCACTAAGCGTCTAGACAGGCTCACATTTCAGTACGACAGTTATCTCGATGCTGTGTGCCGTGTTCGTTGCACCAGAAAAAGAAATAAAGGTCCAGATGACGCAACGTTACAAACGCTGTCTCTGTGCTTCTCCTCATTACTGCAGAGTTTTCTGTGGGAGTAAAGGTTATTTAGCAGCTACAAGCCAGGCTAGAGTAAAGACACTTACCCTAAAACCAGAGGTTAGGAGCTGCAGACCAGGAAAAGGCTGCCCAAGGCTCCTTAATGTGCTTGTGAACAATTTCATTGAAGAATTGGGTCTCTGAGATTGACAGCGTTGCGTTGCAACCAAAAGACGAACTTATCAGAGTTAACTTGAAAGTTTTGTAAAAAAATTGTGAAGAGGTGTTCGTGACATTATCCATTTGTGAGCTCCAGATTAATTCTTCCTCCTGTGTATGCGTCGATTCAAGGTCTGTTGTCTCGCTGCCTTTCTTCCTCTCTAACGTACACTCTGCTCTCTGACCCAGATGTGCTCTCGGGTACGAAAATGGATCTTTTTGATGAGTATAGACAACGGCAAAGTACATTTATTGTTAAGTGTTTTAGTGAATTCTCTCTATTTTTAGCGCAGTTTTCATTCCTAAAACTTCTCTGCAGTCTCGTAAGTGCGAACAGCAGTATCCGTATTGTATGTAGCTGATAGTATGTTACTGTTGCGTTCATTAACTTTGTCTCTTCTCTTGGCCCATAGTTGTATTTTCTCCTCTTCGTTCTCCCACCATACCTTTCTGCAGAGGATCTCTGCCTCTGGAGCTGCATGTTTCTGGTCTGTGGTTGTTGGCTTCACCCACCTTTCCAGTGTTCATTGTTTATCTTGTTTGCTGTCTGTGCTCCCTGTACTCAGCTTTTATTTTTTTTCTGTGTTTTTCCTTCAACCCCATCTTGTCGATTCAGAAAGCTGCTCTCCTTCAGCCTGGTTCTATTGGAGGCTTCCTTCTGTTAAAGGGAGTTTTTCTACCCAACTGTCACTGAGTGCTTGCTCATAAGAAGCAATTTCTCTCTAAAATACTGTAAGATCTTGACCTTTCTACTGTATGAAATGTGCCCTTAGATTTTGCGATTTGGTGCTACTTAAATACAAGTGGCTTTTTTTTAAGCAAAGACATTCCTGATGTTTTCAAACCAGATCATGCATAGTAGTACCATGATAAAACACATACAGTAAACACTTGCTAGAAGAAATTACACATTTTTTTGTTAGATATTTAGATAAAAATGCTCTCATGATTTAGTGTAACAGCCAGGCTTATCAGTAGAGCTCATCTCTAAACCCAAGCATAGCAAAAGGGAGGACAAGACAGAGAAAAGACGAGGAGTTTAGGTACGTCCGGATAGAGCGATTTAAGAGACAACACAAACTGTATTTCAAGTTCTCCTCGTCTTAATTTCCTGTCAGTGGAGATACCTACTGCCGAGAACTTGTTCAGCGCTGGCCGCAACACGAGATGCAATTCAGAATTTAACATCATGACTCAGTAAAGTGCATCCTCGCCAAGTAATTTGTCGACTGCAACATAATTAAGAGATATGAGAAGAAGAGACACAATCGCTCCATTCCAACCATGTTTAGTTGTTTGTCTGAGGTATGTTTATCATAATCCACCACGAAAAAAAAAAAAAACCAAACTCTCCACAGCGCTGATCAGTACTTGTCAGAAAATTTGTAGTGAATATGTTGCATTAACAGGAACACCGTGAAACTGAAAAGTAGCGACTGTCTCTCTAGCAATTTCTCTTTGCTATGTGGACATGTTAATGTGCATAATTAACTAATCAGCTTATGCCAGCTGGAACATTTGGCAGCTCGGTCTGACAGCTTCAGCTCCTCTCTTGAAAACATCTTGAAAGATTCTGGTTTAGTCTCCCTCTGTGTAATTTTATCTCCTGCCACGGCAGCATAATGTAAGCGTAGATGGAACCCAACAGGTCCAGTTACTCAAACGATTACATGAAACAATTAATCAGATATTTGAGATTTGCTACGATGGACAGAATCACTTAGTGGAGCAATGTCTTGCTTGCTCTCGATTTAGAAAAAAGAAATAAAGATACTGCCTGAGTTTAATACTGGTTTAAAAAGACATTAAAACCACGGATAAAGCATTCTTTGAAAAACGAACACCTAAAACACACACTCCGACAAAAAAAAAAGATAAAATATTGAAGCAAATGAAACATAATGAAAAAAAAAAAAAAAATCAGAATCCTACTTGACCAAAGTGTTCAGTGCTGGCTGAATGACTCAATCTGATGACTCCACTGTTTGCTATTCAAGGAAGATCTCATGCAGCCCTTCACGTCAAGGAATCCATATTATATTATTTGGTGTCTGCAAAGAGGTTCCCACTGTTCCCACTCCACAACAGAGCGGCTGTCTTGATTAATAGGAATACTTATTTTATCATTAAGCCTGATTAATTCCATTAGTCTGTGAGGTTTTAAGTCATTCAGTAATGGCACTGAAAATCAATTATTTGCCATGGTAACAAGTAGAAAGAAGGCACTGACTGTGGGAGTTTAACAAACACATACATGATGATCACTAAATACACAAAATGGTCAGTTCCAACGGCTGTATGAGTATAAATTGGAAACAACCCTCTACGATATGTCTGCTTCACAAAAGCCAGGTATTGTCTGTGTGCACAGAAATGATCCCTGACAGTGGAAGCCATTGATTTTCTCACTGCATCTGTATGGCATCTCCCCTTTCCTGCCGGCACAGCATGCAATATGAGACTGCAAGTTTTCCTTTACCCACAGCAATCAATTTTGCTTAGCCGAGCTCCCTGGCATGGATGGAGCCGGCCTAAGTACCTGTCTCCTCCGACACCCAGCCCTGCATGCCATCACCGTCTGAAAAAAAGCTTTCAGTGTAATAAAAAACATGTCTGAATCAAGAGCCGGCCAATCTAGTAACAGCCAGACAAGGCAGTACGACTATAGAGCGCTAACTGTGTCACTGCCAGGGTGGCGGTATGTGTGGAGCAAACGCACACAAAAAAAAAAGAAAAAAAAAAAAGGCCAAGAAATCAAAGAAATCACTCTGATCTTCAATTCCCTAAGAAGATGATCCACATTACAATTTCTTCAATGCTATCAGTTTTAAAGATTGAAGATGTGGTTTTTTAGCTCTAAAAGCAAGGAGCGTTTACGGCCTTTTATCTTAAAAGAATCAGAAAAAAAAGGCCAATATATGAGGCCATATGTGAGGCCGCGCTGGGCATGATTGAGCCTGATTGATTTATATCTTAAAAGTCTCTCGGCCCCCCCCCCCTCCCCGTCAGTCTCACATATTGTTAAACAGAAAGCCTGGGTGGTAAAGGTTCATTTGGAGATGTGTCTTGTCCCTTTCAGGAGACATGTTTAGCCATCAGTTACTGTAATGGAAACAAATAGATTGGCTGGTTTCATAGAGATAGAAAGTCTGGACTGCAGCCAAAGATAACAGGGCTAAACTGTTCCAACAGAGGCAGTGTGGGTGTTGGATTTAAAAAGACTGGCACGGAAATAAACAGAGATGACTACCTATTACTGACTGTTTCTGAGAAGGATAGCGAGAGATAACTAACAGAAGTAGGATTTCAAGATACTGTATAATTTCGCTCGTCGCTGATGCTGTAGCCGTCAATGAAGCCTTTCCCTATGAAACATAATTGAATCCATTGGCATGCATTGCCATGTACACACCATAAATTACTATGCCAGGGAGGTAAGAGCTAATCCTTCAGCAGAGTGAAAGCCAGCTATCTGCAAAAAACCTGGCTGTCTGTTGTTCATTTCCCTGCTAATATATTGATTTGTCTCTACAGTAGCTACAACAGATAACAGATTAAGCTCAGATTACATCTTACCTGTAGCCACTGTGACTGGTCACTATGTCCAGCTGTCCAAGCATTGACCTTGCCTTGTTTGTCCAAACGGGCCTTCCCGGGCTCCCAGGTGAACATGTCCATGTTGAGTGTCCTGAAGATGCTCGAGGCCATGACCTGATAGTCCTGGATATGGCCTGATTTCATCCCCAGTGGTTCAGAGCAGCCTGGCAACAAGAAGATCATTTATTTGTTCTAATCTTATGAAATGCACAACCCTCTAACCCCCAAAAAACAAACGCTCTCGGCGCTGATTCCACATTTAAAAAAAAGCTACGCAGAAGGCACACTGGAGGGGATTGTCGAACCATTTATGATTTATTTATGATTAATGATGACGATTAGCGTATTCACTTGGATGTAAAAATCCCACTCACCCGTCAGCTCACAGCCGAGCAGCTCCATGCGCAAGGTGCAGTGCCTCCTGCAGACTTGGGGGTAAATGCGCACGAACTGGGCTTCGATGGGAGGGGTGAAGGAGTTGGCCGACGGAGCGTTGTTATCGACGTTTCCTCTGAAAATCTGTTGCACGGGATGAAATAACAGCAGACAGGGGAGGGGGGAGAACGGCGAAGCAGATCAGTTTGCAATAATGTGACAGTCTATCTGCCGCTGTCTCTGGTGTCTACTCCACACTCAACAAATTGCTGTCATTCAAGGTCAATGAGCTACAATTACAGGGAAAAATAGACAATTTCTTGCACCATTTGAGCCACTAATTCATAAGAACAGTGGTGTGTTTGAAATTAGTGCTCCAATTATATTGCCGTGCCTTCTGGAGTTTTCCAGCCAAATGACCTCAGACAGTCTCTGAATTAAGTAAAAGCTCACACAGTCGTAGAAATTTCTCACTTTCGGTACGTCCACTTGTGACTGACAACAAGGTTGAGATCACATCATATTCAAGTCCTGACTTATACTGTTGCGTGTAATAAATTTGACAAGAAGTTTGGAGGTCTGGGTCTTTCGGAGCTCGGCCAAACAGAGGACAGCCGTGGTTTGCTGTCAGGGATGATAGAATGCTGTGTGGCCTATTTGGTGGCTGTTCATCCCCAAATAGTATAAAAATTCAATCTAGAAGTCATAAAAGTGGAGGGGGGTAAGGGGCAGCAGGATGGGCCCGGTGTGTGCTAGCTAATTAAAAAGCCATCTCATCATGTCCTCCACCCTGCCCTTGACTGAGCGCACAGTCTCTAGTCGCTGTGTGCGTACGAGTGTGTATCTTTGTATGTGTATTACTGAGCAAGAAGCGACAATATGATGTGCACAGTTGTGTCTGCGTGCCCGCTCACCATATCCTCATCTTTGCCCTTGACTTTGTATGTTCTCCAGGTCTTCCCGTCATCACTGTAGGCCACTTTGTAAGACTTGACGTACTCTGGGCTGCCGATACGCTTTGCACCCTGGGTAATTAGGCCCGTGACCCTCATTCTCCTCTGCAGGTTTATCTGTGGAGTACAAAAAAAAAAAAAAGGCAAACATTTTAAGATTGTAACTTCATTTTCAAACACTATAAATGTGTGCGTCCGTCCGTGTGCACGAGCAGTGTGAGAATTGCACGTCAAGGGGAATCAATTCACCCCCTTGTATCTTTTCTGTCAGGGCCATCCATCTTATTCAGAAAGTCGGTGATCAAATGGAACGTTTAATCAATCCTCATGCTCCACATCCAGTCTGTCCACCCTGTGCAAACTGTCAATATGGTGCCAATGTAAAGCTGCTTGGCGAGCCAAGAGGAAAAGAGGGAGCTAAGGAAGAGGAAAATGATGAATGGTTTTCCTCCATCCTGCTCAGCACACACAAAGTAGGATCATTACATACACACCAGTTTAAGGTCTCCCATTGACAGGTCATTTTGATAGAGTACATTTCTGCAAATTTGCATAGATTTGCCACCTATTTTGCTCTCAGAAGGTAATAATGGCATGTTGCTTTGAGTGGAATTGTTGTGTCATGTCTCTAAAATGCACACCCCAAACTACCACTACATGATGGCACCTATTCAACTCAATTCAATTTTATTTGTATAGCGCATATTTACAACAACAGTCATCTCATAGCGCTTCACAAAGGCAGAGACAGAAACACCCAACAATCCAAAACATCTGGATTCCCTATAAGCTTCAGCAGTCCGCAACAGTGGGAAGGAACCGAAAACCCCCACAGGGGAAAAAAAAAACCTCCGACAGAACCAGGCTCAGGGAGGGACGGCCATCTGCCTCGACCGGTTGGGTGGATGTAGGATGAATTATACAATTTAGTTTACAGTTAAACAAGTTATTAGAATTGATTGTCCTTTTGTAACAGGAGGCATCATGGTGGGGCAGCAGGATGCAGAAGGTGAGGCCAGCGGCTTTAATTCAGGAGCTCCAGATCCAGAGACAACCTAAAGGATGCTCTCAGCAAGGCAATACATTTCAGACAACATGATGGTCTTAATAAGCAGTTCCATGTCCTCCAGTGTAAGAAAAAAATAAAAATAAAAATCAGTGTTTCAAGAATGATACATTTCCAAGCATTCTTGATTGGCTCACTCTCAGGCAGGTTGGTCTGTCTTCAGTCCCACCCATGCGCCCACAAAATGTAAATACGCTGCCTTCAAATTACAAGCTTGCAGCACATTACCGAGACCTATGAGTAACATTACACGTGTCACATCTATGTTTTCTGACAGACGTTGCTTTCAATCTGTCAATGCCGGTTGAAAAAAAAAAAAAGTGCCACTCGCACTGTAATTCTGGTGAGCTTGTATAAAAGATGAGACAGCTATTGACAGTTGATGACAGCTCACTTCATTGTGACAAAACGAGGAAGCCTGTGGTGAGTAAGGACTGGTGCTGTGTTGGGTTACCCAAGCACTCACAGGCACAAGTGCACTGTCTGTTTATTAGAGCAAATTTTAAGACTAATTAAAAAGAGTAGGACAGGAGAACACCGGGCGATTCCACTCTTACAACGTTGTATCCACCTCATCTGTGACAAATAAAATAAAGCAAATAACCTGCGATGACAATTATTCATTAATCATGCTGCCACAACATTCACATAAAGCTGCTTCATTTTAGGAACAAAAACAACATCCCAGCTCATCTAGCTCACCTCTGACAAAATATAAAAACACAGCTGTCTAGTCTTTCATAGCTGCAGAACAGATGAGCAGCGGTAATACGCTTTTGAGTAAGTATTAAGCAGAGCACCATTAACCTGGGATGGTCAAACCAATAAAAAGAAATGCAGACTAAAAAAGATTTGAATTACTCCAATGAACTGGGCTAATTCTCTACGACTCTATGCTGCAGTTACTTCAGCCGTTTTAGATCACGCATTCTCGGCAACAAAACCCGTGACTTAATGCGATATTGCGAACAAACAAGTCCACATTTCAGTTTATGTTTGTGAAGCTGAAGGCTATTTCTATTTAAGAACATGAACCATTTTAAAGCCAATCCAAGAAATGGGAGTCTAATGTCACTGACAGTGTGACCACATTCAGGATGGTATTCCAGGGGCTTGAGCTCATTTTCCGGTGCAGAAATGGTAGCGTTACTATGAAATAAGGCAATTTATAAGTAAAATATTTGAGAGCAAAAGCTCAAACTGTTGGCTGAGCCCACTAAGTTATGCTCTCCTTTTCAGTTAATGAAAAAAAACTCTAAGCTACGTCTCCTGAGGACATTACAGATTAGAGTATTGGCTCTTACGGATCCAGCACAAGAATAGAACTGTTTATTTTTTCCACCAACCTTGTCTGAACTGTCAAAAACTAATAGAGTAATGTGTAATAATTCTCTCAGTGTTGATTCCTATTCTAATTTCCATTTGTCGAGACAAGACTCAATTACACATATTTTTTTTCTACATTCTTAAACCAACGAATCGTGTTAATTATACATAACGACCCCTCTTAGAGCCTTAGAGCTGCACTGACCCACTCTTTCTCTTTCACAGCATTTCTTCGCACTCCTCAGTTTTCTCCATAGAGATAGATACTTCTTGCACTAATTAGAAGCCCTGTCACTAAAAGGCCACTGCTGGGGTAATTGGGGTGATCCCTCACATTTTTAATGACCACTCAGAAACGCACCTCTGTCACTTCACTGCTAATAGTGATGCATTCCTTTTGTTTGACTGAGGCATTGTTGGAAACATCCTCCTTTTGCGGACCTTTTGTTTACGGACTTATGTGTGTCATTTTGAAGAAAAGTGCCAATTAAAGTACACTGCTTTAAACGCGCACAGGAGTGTACAAAAATTACACCGAGATAGCACCACAACAAATTTAGTACTTAACACTTTTGTACGACCTCGAGAAGTTGTCAGCTGTTCTTGAGATACCAATTTTCCTGTAACCGTGCAGCTGAGCCCACATCTAGACACATGCATGAATAATCAAGCAACATTCGATGGTAATTTTCTCATATGTGCTCTGTGTTGCATACTTGACCTTTAGCGCAGTCCACCCTCAGACAAAGATGTTTGTTTGTGTGCATCACTGTGAATACACAAACTGCATTATCTTTACCATAGTGCAGTTTTACAAAACCAAAAAAAAAAAGCAGAAAAAAAAGAACAAAAAACAATCACATAAATAAAAGCTGTACCCTTAGCAGGCGTGTGTACTCCCCTAGGTTCAGCTTAGACACAAAGACAGCTCGAAGTAACGCTGCCGAAGACAAAGTTGAGAATGAACTCTTACCCTTTCACCATTTCACCCGTTTCTTTTTCCAGACACACAGCACCGTGCGTTTAAAGTGCTCTGAGTAAAACGATCCTCTGTAGAAAAGAAGTTCCGACATCAAATCATTTTCTGATGCCAAACTTTATTTGCAAAACAAAGAAAAAAAAACCTTGTGTTGAATGTGATTCAACTGTTTTCCCTCTTCACTGCCGTCAGAAAATGTTCAGCCTGGAACCATTTACAACATCCTGAAACCGAATACGTCCTCTAGGAACGGGATTCTGCAGCATCCGATATGATGTGTCTGGATCCGGCTTCTGCTAATGCTAACAATGTCCAAATACTTGACAAATACATCTCTGATTTCTCATTGGTCCTTTGAGGTCACGTGTACAGTTACGCTATTGGCAGGAAAACATCACAGATTTATTAGGCTTGTAACAAGGAAGAGCTGTAACTACAGTGAACAAAAATACAAGCTAGAGAATTCTGCTTTTATGTTTTCATCTAGATATACAAGCTAGTCTCATAAGAAATACATGTCAGAGGCAAGATTATATAAATAGATGCATCGTGACGAGGGCTGAAACAATTGGTCAATGAAAGGCAGCTCGGCTTTGGGGCCATTTTTCATTGTTTCTTGAGATTTCACAGACAGAAAGGATAATTGATTAATTGAGAAAATTATCAGCAGTATAATCAATAATGAAAGTAATGGTTGGTTCCTGTTACGATTAAAACTATGATTCTTAGCATCCCTTATTTCTAAGGGATGATAAATGATAAATGACTGTTTCAAGTCAAATCACAGTATATCAGAACCTAAAAGCCGCCCGCTAAACAATAAAGAACGACATGAAATAACGTTTTTAAATTTTAATACATTTTTCCCGTTCACTGCTCTCCAGAGCCCATTTACTCTGTCTAAACCAAACACGCAAAGCACATCTATTTACAGCCACAGCCTTCTAGTAAAAAAAAAATGGGAGCGACTACACAATGGCTAGCTTCCAGTCATTTATATTATTAAGACCTCTAATTATTCCCACATATAATCAGACCAACAAGCAAGACCTCAAAAAAAAAACAAAAAAACCCACACACGCGGACGCACAAAGGTCAAGAGCGTATAAAGCGAAATATGCCTTGTGTTGATTATACACTGAGATCAGAAGTGTAGAGGGAATTGCAACAGCATTGTAACAATTAGACTGTCCTTGAAACTACCTAAGAGCCCCGTGGCACTGTTGTGTAAAAGATGCACACGTGCGCAGACACACTTAAAACGGCTCATCTCTATGTGCAAATTGAACTTACAATAGGTTTATTTATTCAGTATTTTTTTTACCTCTTATTGCCATATTTATACAATATATAATAATAGTGACCTCCAAACCAATTTTCCCCCTAGAACTAAAAATTATCCAGTGTCACATCCAGCAAGTCGCCAGCATGTTATCACTGTGTTTACACATACGGACAAGATAAGTGATTTAAATGGCATAGGAAAAAAAAAAAACAGACCTAAACACCACTAACATGCTGTAGCTGGACCAGAAATAGGCAAATATACCTGCTACAGACTGATGAAATACTCACAGCAGACATCGGCTTATTGCTCTCAGTGTTAAAGGTGCAAGTTTAGCGCCTCAAATCTGGACTTATTTGTATATGAGGACATGCTTTCAGTAGGAAATCTCAGAGTCGCTGTGCAAAAATGCACGTGCATATGTCCAGAGGCTTTAGTCAGTCGGTGCCATGCGGTCCTGCTGTGATTATAAAATAAACTGAGCTAGAAAAGCCTTTGTCAGGGTCACATTTCAACCGCACCGCGCTGTACAAATGTTTTAATAACATATGGTTACACTGAAATGAAAGCGGAAAAGCTCCCCAGACAGCAGCAGCAACAAAAAAAAAAATTTGATAAATATCAGCACATGCCAAAAAATGTGACCAAACTTCATGTCATTAACTGCTTAACTCCCATTAAAATATGTATAGGCCCTCTTAGCCTTCACAAGTGATTTGTACTGTTTCATTCTTTCAGCACAGCCGGCTGAAGCTATATTTTGCTGATATTGGTGAGACCGGCAGCATATTTCCCTTGAGTGTTCAAATGCAATTTTATGTGTGAGCTAGACGTGGTGAGGCTGTGGAGAACTCGTATTCTCACACTACACAGATGTGTGAACGGTGGCAAGCTCGCACACGCTCCGATGAAAAGCACATGAGCCTACATAAACACAAGTCGGTGTTTGCATGCTTTTGTGTGAAACTCTGTGATGTATTATTCAAATTACGTTGCTCTATGTTTGTTTATGATTGATTCATTTGGTTTAGGGAGGTGGGGGGGGAAGGTGCTGAAAACTGGCTGGCATCCAAAGACGTAGTAAATACATACTGCAGCAGGAAATACCTTAGCAGATAGCCAGAGAAATGCGAACCCTTACGTTGATAGGTGTTGTCATCTGCCGGTATAACCTGCTGCACATGACAGACATGCAAACAGTCACGCCGCATCACTCCACACACACACAACAAAAAGCGCGCCACTGACTCCTTAGCATAATCCCAAAACACTGACACGACTGTACACCTCTGTACTAACGTCCCAATTATCCCGGCCCTTTGTAGAAACACACAATGCCTACAGCATCCTGTGCAGCATCCCACGTGGCATCATTAAAGTCAAACAAACCGCCTGAATGTTTTATGTCCCGTTCTCCTCACCCTCTCCATGTGCCAGGTTCCTATTCTCTCACTCATGCCGGCTGTTTCTTTGACTCTCTCTCTCTCTCTCTTTTTCTTCTTTTGTTGTTTTTTTTTTTACAAACCCATTTCGGCCCTGTCTTACTATTCTCTTGTTGTTACATACAGCTTCACTTTCTCCATCATGCTGTCACAGCTTAGTATGTTTTTCTATTATGCTTTGCTCACGGTTCACTGTGCATCATGTGTCTGGCAACGGCGGTGCTTCAAAGTTGATTGTCTGTCATCACAGTAATGACTCAAAGGTAAAAACAAAAACAAAAACTAATAGTTCATTAACTCGCTCTATAATTAATTAGTTTACAATTCACGATGGTATTGTTCTCGCATCTGGGAGCTCTATCTATGGAATTGCCTGAGCCTTGGAAGAGAACTGGAGTTAAGGGCAAATGCATACATCACAGTTACACATCATGTGACAGTTGCTGAATATGCTGCAGCTGTTTCCGCTCGAGGTCTTGATGTGTGACTGTTTGCTCTACATAAATCCAGAAAATCATTTCTACGTAGGGCCGTGCGCCCCGCAGGCAAGGAAGGTGCGGAAGATTCAATATTATGACTTGTACGGTTGCTTGATGCGGTGAAACTACACGGGGTTTTTCAGGGTTACAGTTATGTAACAGTACAAATTAAAAAAAAGCAGCGGGATCCGGACTGGGCAGGACTGATGAGGACAGAATAACAGGGGTGTGATGTGCAAAAAAAAATAAAAAAAATCAGGAGCAGCAGGTAATCCATCATATCGATCTGTCTATGTAGCTCTTTGACAATAAACACTGACTAATGGCACAGCGTGAAGGCTGACTTTAACAAAGCAAGCGAGTGCAAGGAGAGTTTCGTGTATCACTGCTTTGCTGCCATCAACGTGGAGTTTCTTTTCATTTCACAATTATATGGTTGTTACAGATAAAGGCCCTCTAGGTGGTTATAGAAACGCCCCAGGGTACGTAAAAAGGGACAAAAAGAAGCGGTGGATTGTCGAATTCAATTAATTAAACAGGAAAATTACTGTTAAACATCAAAATCTCTCTCCTGATAGCACGGTCATTTGTAGATCACAATTTACAAAACACACACAAAAAAAGTAAATCATTAATTGCATTGGATGATTGCGATGCTCGGCAGCATAGTTGTGTTGCTAGGGAACCTTATGACAAAGAGTACAGTGCCAATGCGGTTACGATTCTGAGCGTTTCACAAGTAAATGTCAAAACAAGACATGGCACAACTGAGCAAATGCTAAAAAAAAAATCATCACCGCAAAGAGACACACATCAGTTTGGCCCTTTTTTTTTTTAATACTGTTCCTCACACATGACTAAACCTGCATCTGTTCTGGCCCCTTGCTTACACTTTTTATGGCTCTTTATTACCAGTAAGATAGCCATCAATTTTACAGTAACTGTAATTAACTCAAAACTGCTGCATTTTTACACCGTCAGCTATTTGTGCTAACCGCCAACAGCAGCCAAATGGTTTCATACAGTAGGCAGCTTATAAATAAGTCAAGATAAACCATTTAAATCCACAAAAATGAAACAAACAAAAAAAAAAAGGAGCTTCTGTATTTAAGATTGCGCCTTTATCTTAATTCATTTGTACGTGGCCCTGAACCGGGCTTTGCATGTCGACTGCGGTGCGACTGTGCTTTACCTGGATCCACGGCCATCTGTCATTTTCGGCAGCGGTCCAAGCATTGACCAGGCCCTTCTTGTTGAGGCGTGCGAAGTACGGGTACCACTTCTGTAGGCCGAACAGAGCGCGGTGGGTGGAGGAGGCTGTTATCTGTTGGTTGGAGATTATACCACCCTCCATGCCCAGTGGTCCAGAGCATTCTGAGGGAAGAAAAAGGGAGGAAGAGATAGATGAGTCAAAAAATAAATAAAATGTGTGCAACTCAGTGTATGGAATGCTTATAGAATTTCAAAAATACCACAAACACTGCATTGTGTGAGGTCAGTGATTTTGTCCTCCGCAGTTTGTTGTTTCTCTCTCTAATGTCTCCGTGTTGTTGTTGTTGCTCTACTGCTCTCTACTACAGCAGACATTAAAACTGCAACTTTACTTCCACTCTTCGCTGTTTGTATCTTTTGTTGCAACCTCCTGTTAATACTCTGCCTTTGAGGTTATCAGTTACCTTCATCCGGACTCCTTTCTCTCACTATAAATGTTGCTTTGATCCATAACAAGGGCTCTCCTGATGTTGCCAATGTGGATAAAATCCTTTTAAAATCACAGCTGCCAACAAGAGGACTCCTTCTCTGCCCTCATGCTGCCCACATTCGACGGACAAACAGGTTGTTCCTTCATCTCCTCCGGAGAGCCGAGCCTTCGGGGGTTCCTCCCAAGAAGCCACTTCTGGACGGCGTTATCCCAAAAGTCAACAAGCTCTTGCAACAGCTTTAAATATCTTAGCGGCTGCACCATTAAAGTACACAGCCATGACAGCAGTGTCTTAACACATAAGCGCCGCGCTTTCTTTAAGCAGTTTTGTACTTACCATTAATCCTAATTGGTATGTCTAGGCACATCAAATGCATTTTAATGAACATACCTGTGGTTGAAAAGGATTCTAGCAATGTTCATCCAATAAACAATTTATGGTACTCCAAACAAGTACTTCTTTGTGTTTCCATTAGAAATAAAAAAAAAGTGCACTGGGAAGTCTCATAATAATAGAAAACACATGAAACACAACGCTGAGGTAAATGGAATCGGGCATGCGTCCATTCAGACAGTAAACACAGCACGAGCAACGGCATTTCTCCAGCCTGAATAAAATGTGTAAGAGCTGCACAACTGCACTAAAATTGTCCCCTCATCTCCTCATCATGCAAACCTTAACTTGTAATATACAACTTATTCACATGAAATTGGTCAGAAATTGACTCGGCGTAGTTTGTAAAGATGAAGGAAAACAAAGCAGAGGTGACGCGGAGTTGGTTAGAAAACAGTCAGAATGCAAAGACTCCCTGCATCACTGCACTTCTTCTGGCAACCGCAACGCAACTACCGACATAAGCAGCATCGCAGCTGTTCTCAAGATAAGCTGAATTAGTTGTGACAGATGCTGAAATTTTAATTAGATTTTTTACGTCAGCCATAGAGTTGACTTAAATGCAAAGAAATATAGCGGGAGGATTTTTACTTTTCAAATATCTAATTGAACATGACAGCAGAGGATACTGTATAATTCAGCATCTACCACCTTCTAGCGCTATTTCCTCTGGATGCAGAGAAAAGTACTTTAGCTGTTCATGATATAAAAGCTTGAATGTGTTGGGGAGGGGTGGGGGGTACTTCCCAGTTGCTCCTACTGGTTAAATGGTTTAGTAAGTCTGAGGAATGTTACTGGGTGTTTTCTGATGGCAGGAGGATGTGCATTGGCAGTCTGTCTAATTTAATTCCCTATCAGATCTAAAAGTCATGAGTTTGAAAATAAACCTCAGACGTCTCGCAAAACGTAATTTATTCCCCGCGGTCTTTGTTATTGCATAACATCAGCAAGCAAACACATGTGACGGGCAGAGGAAGGAGCGTGCTTCACGTTTATTCTGCCGTGCACAGAATGATGATTTAGTAAAGATGATTATTGATGATGTGCTCCAACTCATTGATACACAATTGCATCCGGCTTATGAGGGGAATGATGTGGGAGGGATTTGTCCTCCTCTGCTCTTGCTTGCTGTTTATTCCTAATGACAACAGGGATACAAGCGATTAGAGCAATAAACAGAGGACAAGCGGAATTTGTTATACTCCTTTTTGTGAACAGTGGTGTGTCTGATTAAAATTTAATCAACTCATTTCATTTCTCCCATTTGCATGTTTCTCGTCACGGATGATTAAATAGTCACGTGTAAAAAAGCCGAAAAGGCACGATGTAGGAAAGAAAAAAAGCTCTGAAGTGTCCCAAAACAACAACAACAACAAAAAAAGAAGAAGACATGTCAAGTGCAGACTTCAGCCAGAGCCACAGCTTGCTGATGCCGGCTGAACTGTAAGTGTACGTATAAAGCAGCCTTCAGGGGAAGCCTGGAGCAATGGTCACCTAAAAGCTGTATTGCTGCCTTCACCATTTAAACAAAACATCTAAGCATTTCAAACCTAGTACTGACATACAGACAGAAAAAAAAAAGGCGCGCACACACACATACAAGCAAGCAGACAATGAAACTGGCAGCGCTGAGAGCTGTGAGAAGACTTTCAGCACACAAGAAAGCCAAGAGTCAGAAAAGAATGGAACAATGAAAACAACCCTAGCACGACTTCTCCAGCTGCTAAAGCAGTGGGGCTCTAGTCAACAGGGAGCCGGGAAGACAGTGAGTAATGTCTGAGGACAGTCCGGGGGGATCGAGTGGAGGCTGGAAGAGAGCAAAGAGTAGATCTGTGTGTGTGTGTGTGTGTGTGTGCACTAACAGAGATGTGTTTATATATTCCAGTATGGTAAATCACTCTCGCTTCACTAGTTCTTCCTTGTATGTGACTCACCGCTTCCAGTCTGATTAGAGGGCGGTGTAGGTGGATGCAGTAGCCTACTGCTAGAAGCTCAGAGAAGCTCCTGAATTTCTGAAATCTGGTGGATGAACTTAATTTGGACCTCTCAAAAAGTCTTGCTGAGGATAAACAGCTTTTATTTTTAGACGTGCTATAGCGATTTAAACCAAAGGCTTTTCTTACCAGCGTGTAGGCTGTGATCTTCCAAACCACTACTGTGTTAAATAAACTGCTACAGTAATCCAACTTCCACTTTCATTTCAGTTCCAGGGCCAATACTTGTCTGTTAATTAATTTGCTTCATTCATAGTTAAAAAGTATTTTGTCCCGCTTCGTTAAAAGAGGCTATGCCTCCAACTATTGTTGTTTCTCTTCAGTCCATCAGGAATCCATCCTGAAGCTCAAAGTGTTTGAACAGATGTTGTGCAGACTCAGCCGTACACTCATTGGGTCAGACAGCAAGTGATTCAATTTCATTTTCTTTCCCAATAAAAATATTTTTCTCCTTCTTCAGCTCTAATTATGAAACATAATATTTGTTCTTGAAGCTGGAAGGTATGTTTGAGGGCAAATGCATCACTTTCACTAGCGCCACAAGTTACAGGAACACATGTCGGGCAGCATAACGATATCTGAGAGAAGTGTCGATCAGAAATGGCACCTCATGTTCAATATTCGTCTGAGGAAAACCAAACTATAGATTCTGCAGGTATTTGAACAGGTCTGTCAGGCTTACAGACACAGAGAAGGTTAATTTTAACATTAACATCTTCAGATCAATCAACAACACTGTTCTCTTACAGTTCTTTATGTGTAATAACATCAGTCTATTCCCCCAGTAACATTAATGACTGCAGTAACAGAACTGTGGGTACGTTATCCCCCATGCCATACCTGTACATGTGTCACTTCATCGAGTTATATCTCCACATGTCCATATGTAAATTCATCATGCCTGGTATATCGTCTCTGCTTCTTTCATGCCTTATCTGTATTCAGCTGCTGTAACATGTAAATTACCCAGGTGAGGGATCAATAAAGTTTATCTTATCTTATCTAACAGCTTTCAAACACAAACACTTTTATATATTTTCACAACATTATCATATTTCCTGCATGTAGATAATAAAATGAGCTTTTTTCAGACACGTCAAAGCGACGTTCTTTGAGTTAAGCGTTTCATCTCCTGACAAAATGTAAAGAACGTATCAGGTGCAAATCACAAAAAGCAATACAGTGTGCAGAATGAATCCTGACTTTCCATTTGTTAGGGTCACACATGCTTCTCTGCCACACGCACCAGATGGCACATCACCAAAATTTAACTTTCCAAAATGAGATGGAATGTATTTTTTTTTCCTCGTTAGGGTTCGTTACGGATGGAGGTGCGATGTTGCATCAACACAATATCATATTTGTCTAGATGTTGTACCTCTTGGGCAGTTCTCTTGTAACATATTCCATGCGGATGTTGTGACAAGACACTGCTGCAAAGCCGCGGTCCTTCTCACCTTGTGGCAATGATGGGCCACTCTTAACGAGCTGCCTGCCAGTCGTCCGTCAGAGCGGCAGAGGCAGTCAGCCCCCGGGCCTTGCCCTGCTGGCCCCTGAGCATACATCAGCCCTCAGACAGCACACATCACTAACACCAGCACCACCGTGATGTGACAGCTGAATCCATCTCCCACAAGCCCTACCTACAGCCTAAACAAATTAGTGCCCCACTGAAATTAATGCCAGCACACCAATACTAATGAGCATGCAGCAGAACCGGGGGATGAGGAAAAGAATAATAAACAGTCAAAACAGACGGCAGCCGTACAACAGAGGTTCTGCAGGTGACAAATGAGACTGAAGCAAACGCACCTGTACGCGCACGCTGGCTGCTATTTTAATTAAAAAATAAGTCAACTGTGATTAAAGGGGACAAACAAAAAGTGCAGGCATACATGTTTTCATGTAAATTATTGAATGACCAGAGCAGGATTTTCTGAGGTCGATAACGATCTTAATATTTTAGCTTTAAAAAAATCCAAAAATTAAGTATCTGCCAATATAAACTTTCTCCACAGCCCATGAAATAAATTTACATTTTTGACAAGTTTCCATCAAATTAGTTGAAAAAGGAGCCCATTTGTGCTTTCTGGTAGATAACCTAAAGAATATTGAGGGTTTTAAAGCATATTTTTAGCAGATTAGTACCTCAGCTTCTTGTCATTTATTGTCTCATACTGATATATCTGCAGTATCAGTAACAAATACAAACAGTGTTTAGAACCACTGATCCCTGTCGTATTATAAATTAACTTAAATACAAAGATAAATGAAACAAACAAGATAAAAGAAAATTATCAGTAATATATTACTGGGGTTAGCTTGTAGTACACAACCACGCAGAGCTACTGGGTTTTAGTTGATATATCTGGGTGAAAATAAGTCCAAGGTAAACTTTGTGTACTTGAGTTGATTTAGTTTTTGATGCTCAAAGATGCTTTTTGGACAGTCATCCCCTTCCCTCAGCATCGACTCTTTAACCGATGATTTAACCCACATTAATGTCTGAAAGCGTTAACGCTTCTGGGCAATTACAGCAATAACCATCGCAAATTTGTTTCAGCAGAAAGGCTGAGGCCGTTTGTGCCAAGAGTTATCTCTCTTAATTTTATATTTTACAAGGATTTATTCTGGCAAGTAATAGATATGATTCTTCTTCTTGCTTCCCATTGGATCATGGAAATCAATACTGAAGGCTCTGTAATCACCGAACCGACAGCCAGTGGTCCGAACCCTTGCTGCTGCCTCCACGTAGGATTCTCACGCTGATCTGTGGTGTGGTATGGAACATCTAGAAAATGTACAGCTGCTTAATCTGCCACAGCCGATATGTGCAGGACTTGCCCACACACACAACGTGGGCTGAAGGAAGAAGTCAGAGGAGATGACGAGTTCTGGTATTCCAGGCATTCTACCTTTTTATTTTTTTTCCCTGTTCTGTGCACACTATGTTTGTTGGAAGCCAAGTAACGGCACAAAAATGATGAATTTAAATGTGCAAAGTTGAAATTTAAGGACATTTAAGGACTCGCCATGAGAAGCACTAACTGTGATTACTGATTTTGATCATCATTTGTTTTTCTGTCACTCATAAATCCCCACTCTGCAAATCAGTGGGATATTCTATTCAAACTCAACATCAATTGTTCTTGTAAAAATGAAGCTGAAACTGGTGACAGAAAGCTGGTACATGAAGCTAATAATATCCTGCTGGTTATTTTGAATGTCTTTTGTTTACTTAGTTTTGAAAATGTGATGGTCTCAGTAATGTCTTTATTCATGTTGTGGATTTTGTGATATATTCCTTTTCTGTTCTGTCTTTTTTTTTTTTGTTTTTTTGGGAAACAAACAGTTGAAAATATTAGGACTGTATGTTTGGCTGTGTTCCAGCACACTGAATTTTAAATGAAACAAAAATAAAGCAAGGTTATAGCCCTGACTTCTAGCTTTAGGGGTGTTTGGAGTTGTTGGCGTATATATTAGGTTAGCAGTGTAGGACTTATGGCCCTCTTTACTCTTGGGGAATATGTATAAATGGTATACGATCTCTATACAGTTCACGTGCTGTAGGTGTAAACACCATCCGTTTAAAGCGGGGGTCAGAACTTTCACCTTGTGGTCATTGTTTCATGTCAAATGTGTTTACAGCTGAAATAAAGCACCTCAATACTCAGACTGCACTTTGACAATAACAAGCTACATTAATGGTCGTATAACACACTGTACACAATGAGTTTATATAAAGGGGTGGAATTAAATAATCACAAATGACGACGGTTCGCACATATTCATTCAGCAAGACTGCTTAATTTATTTTCACTCACAAATCCAATCTAATTTTTCAGGCTGTACCTCTCGACTCCTTTCCGTCTACTTTCTGCCATCCAGTTTATAAAAGCAACTCTTACCCCTAAACCTTTCGAAAAAATTCTCTTGTTCAAATATCCCCGACTGCGGTACTCGTGAATTAATTTGTGAATAGCAGTTCAGGGAGGGTTGGCTCACGGCTCCAAGTCCACGGATAAAATAATCCTAATATGTTGCTAGACTGCAGACGAAATCACCACAATAGCATAACAAACACATGAAGCCCCTTTGAGCGTTGGTGTTTCTTCTTTCCATACAACCATTGGAAAAAAATAAAATAACATGAGGACTTGCAAATACAAAGTGTGAATCATGTGTCCATTCATTTACTATGATGTTTGATTGTGTTACTCTGGAATCCAATCATTGTTTCTTGTCATTTCTGACAGATAAACGGAAAAAAAGTGAATTAACTTTTATGGATGTTAGGATACACCGATAACGTTCAGCATAAGAGAAGCTCCATAGTGATGTACTTAATAAGGGCTCTAAACCTCTTCTTATCAATTAGAGGGGGGATGAGAGACAGGGTATGGATTGATTTCACCCAAGCATATGATTCATACGTGCATTGGTGCACACTGAGCACACGGTGGCTCCTACAATTATCAGCCCTCTTCACCTGACAGCTCATCCTTCCACCCACTGCATGAACAATGAGCAACCACCATCCAGTGATCTGTTGAACTCACTTACAACATCTAAATATTGCTTCACAACTACAATAAAAATAATATTAGGTAGTGCAAAAAAAATAAAAAATCCCCAAACTCTGAAATGTTCTCAAGACTTAATAAACTTGTAGCATAACTTTTAATCAAAGGTCAGTGCACTATCTACTGAGCAAAAAAAAAAGGATAGACGCTCCTTATGGGGATTCACCATCAAACTGTCTCTGATCGATCAGTTTGCCTGGGTAATACTACCAACCGTGCAATTACCTGCAGCATCAGGTGTGCTGCTGAAATCAATAGAAAGTTGTAAAAGACTTGAAAGACAAATATCACAAAAAAGAAACACAAGCACTTACTGTATTGACAGTTCCTGCCCATGTACTCTCCTGGGCAATCGCAGGAATAGTTGGCCACCAGATCCGTGCAGATGCCCCCGTTCTTACACGGGTCCCTTTCACATTCGTTAATATCTGAAAGAGCCAAGAAAGAAAAGAGAGAAAGAAAGAAAAAAAAGGTGCATTCATTTGTTTGAAGCAGGCATGTAGGCAATTAGAAAGAGTTCATCCTTATTAAAATGCATCGGTGGTATTGAATTTTCTCTGTGTGTGTGTGTTACTTGATTCCGCCCGGCCGTGGAAACTCTCACAAAGACGACGGTTTCTTGAAACGAATAAATCAAATTCTCAGTAGACTGTTCATGCTACAACATAGTCCAAGTTTCCAAAGAACAATCAGCATAGTGTGCTTTTAAATAATGATCATACTTTATTTGAGAATTTGTTAAAAAAAAAAAAAGGAAAAGTGAAATAGTATTTGGCTGTTAAGCAAATGGCCACATGGGTTTTGCGCCAGTAAGCGAAGAAAAGCAGCAATGCTAAAAATTGCAGAAAGTCAATTAAAAACTTGTCAAGTTGGCCTGTTTGACTCTGTTTACACCAATAATCCAGCCAAAGCAGCATAACTAACAAAAGTCATGTATTATTCATGAGCAAGCCTTTGAATGGAGAGTTTTTTGTAGCAGAAACTATGCTATCTAACTAATATTTCCTCATATACACAGTTTGTCTTGTGGGGAAAAAAAAACAAAAACAAAGTTCTGTTCAATAATGTGCCAAGTTTAGACTTGTTCTTGTTCGCCATCGCTTACCAGAGACGAGCAACTCTTACCCAGCCAGCATTAGATTTATTTCATTTAACAATTTTTATGGCATTTTGCTCAAGTCAGATGAAGCGCAGATGGACTCATTCACATACGTAGTGTTAGCAAATACCTACGATAAACAGCAGTGACACGCAATTTCGCACAGATGGCTGTAATTTTGCTAAATATCCTCCACCTCTTCATTGGAGTATCACAGAAACAGAATAGGGCAGAATATGATGAATTATCTCAGAATGATCATCTAGCGTACAGTCACCTTTGTTCTGTAATTGCTCTCCGGAACAGCTTTTCCCGCGACTGATTCATCTAACCAATTACGGAAGGTGACGGAGCTCCAACCCCACCCATCGCACACCGTTTGCACTCTGTTCTGTTACAGTTAACAGAAGGAAATTACTGGTTTAGAAAGGTGAGGAAAAGGAGAAAATGGTGAACTTTTGAACAATTTTGAACACATTTCTAACGATATCCAAACTGGCCCCGTGGCTGCGACAAGACGTTTTTAATCCTCCAAAACAGACCCTGAGCTCTCTGTGACTCATAGGTACATTTTGGCTTCATGAATATGTAACTAGGTTTGAGATTTAGAAAGCTTAAGAAAGTGAAACATGATTAGAGTAAGTCTGTTACGGCGCTCCATCTCTCTGAGATTTTTATCTACAACATGTATAATAGTCGCTTAGGCACATTCGTAGTATCTCAAAATATATCTTCTTTTTTTTTTTTTCCCGGGGATGTCTTATGCTCCAGAGAAATGCAGTCATGGTCTTCAGGCATAATGGTCACTGAGGTACTGTGACTAGAAGCATCTTTAATCTGCAGCAGAGCAGAAGAATAAAAATAAATAAATAACTAGAGTGAAATAAAAGAAAGGGAGAGCGGCACAGAGGGAGAGAGGAATGAGAAATGTTTTGTGATTCACCCAAAAATCCATTGGAGACCCACGAGACAACTATATTTGGGTGAAAAGATGTTGGATGAAATTGAGCCGTAAAACCTTTCCCAAAAGGCAGCATCGGGTATAAAAAAAACGGTTCTACAGGTTTAACACGCACCTGTTCTGTTTTCCTTGATCTGATATGCATGAGGAGAATATCTGCTCACCCTGGACACAAAAGCACGCATGTCGAATTCTATCCAGCCTTCACTACAATGTGTTTTTAGTTTTTTTTTAAATTTATGTTTACTGTGAGAACGCAGCGAGAACATTTCAAAACAAAGCCCCGCTCTGTCCTGCCGTGTGGCGCCTCCCTCCTGATTCTGATACAGCCCATGTTAGCGAAGCCCTGCTGTTTGTCAGTTAGTCAACAAAATGCCGATCCTTAAAATGCGATGTGACTCAACTTGTAGATTTAAGTGCATCATTCTCAGAGAGACTGAAGTCAATAGTTTTACTAGCCAGCAGGCTGTCTTGTGCTTTAGAGAGCACAACAAAAGAGCTAATTTCTGCAGCTGGCGCTAAAAGCAATACTCTTGAAAGACAGACTGCATGCAGCTGTTAAGTTTTGTGAACATTAAACTCATTGTGAGGTCGTATTTTTGCATTTCGTCATAGCTGGGACGGTTAGTGATGGTCTGTTTTTGTCTATGCATGGCTGTTTTTCAGTTTTTGTTTCCCAAGTCATCGCTGGAGCTATTTATTATGAAACCGTTAAACCAAAAGTCTCAATCTTCCCAAGATTTGTCCACTGGGTCCATGCGGTTCATGGTTTGAATTATGAAGACTCAACTGTGAAATGACTGCAAAGATGCAAAACAGGGATTAGAGCTTTAAACTGACTCAAAGAATAACAACTCCATGACACTTTAATCATGACAAATACACGAAAGAAAGGAAGACATCAAGATGAAATCATTTTGAACAGCAAAAGACTAGATCAGGTTTGTTGGATAGTTGTTATTTGGATGAAATCTGCTCAAGGTCAGGTAGCTGACGTCGTCTAAATCCTGCCTGGTTGGTGCAGCGAGAGACCTAATTACTCAACGTTAGGGGTTTCAGTTATTCAAGGTCTGTCATTGATGCATTTTTGAGTGCGGTTCAACCTTCCAACCGCCTGCTGTAATCAGATACAAACGACTCTGGAGTGAGCCTCCTTATAGAGAGAAACACTGGCTGATTCTCATCATAGAATCCATCTTTACATTCAAGATTTAATCCTCAAGAACTACTCATTTTTAACATCACAGTTATTAAAAAAAAGGCCGGTGTGAGTGGCCCCTTGTGAAACAACAGTCATGCATTTCACATCACAATAATTTACACAGGGAATATGTCCTCTCTGCTAATTGCCTTAGTGGAACACTAAAAGGGAAACTTGATTTTATTGCCACTTGTGAACAATAAGATATAACAGAGTCACGACATTAACTGCATGAAGATCCTTCTGGGTGTAAATGCTGCAGCAGTATGAGGAAGCCTCAACTTAAATGGCACAAACTTTGCTGCAGACTTTTCTCGAGCTCTTGAGTATTATATGTGGAAAATGAATAATGCGCCTCCTCTGCACACAGAGCAATCCATTGGTGTTTCACAATCACGCTTACTTAGATACGTGATGCGGTTGTTGCTCTTTTAAGTTCGCACCCCGCCTCGTTGCCACCACTAGGTTCAAATACAGACGTAAGGCAAATGGCCAGGCCGGCCCGGAGCTCAACAAAACACCACAGAGAGGAAAACACAGCTAGCCCGTCTTGTGATTTGCTTTCCTTTTATGAGAGACCATTAGCCCCTGGGAGACCGGCGCGGGGGAAAGAGAGACTTGCCAGTAAATCAGGTGAGAGAAAAGGGATTACTTTGGGGAGAGCAGTTAATCCACCTGGTAAAAAAGTAGAGAAGAGGGGAGAAGATAAGCATGGAGAGGATGGGAGAGCCGGATCCTATGAAAGAAAGAGACTAGAGGGTGAAAGAAACTTACAAAGAGAGAGAGAGAGGAAGAAAAAAAAAGACGTGCTAGCCCAGTGGTCAGGTAAATAAAGTCGGTTTACACAGCTTCTTTGACGCAGTTACAGGCGCGCATCCAAGGAGGTTCCCTCACTGATATTAGTCCAAGTCTACCATCCTGTATTTAAATATGCCATTAAAGCCTTAAACTTGGTAAAACAACATTCTGCAGCTTCGCTTTAATGAGGACGGTGCTATCTTGGTTATAACAATTTAACAAGCCAGTTTGAGTAAAGATTTCTACAGTGGATGGAGACAATAAAAGTAGCAGACAATTAAATGCAATCCAGCCCACTGTCTGTGCAGTAACACTAGCGAAGCTTAAAATGTTTTTCTTGAATCCGTGCCAGGACATTGCTGATTCAACTGAGACTGTATTTAGTGGCATTACACAGGATTGGAACAGTTTGCAAGGAGACCGTGTTGTGTTGTCCACTCGCTGTACATACGACGACGGGCACAAAGCCATTCAGGACAACAGGATATCGTTTAAAATTAGAGTTCAAAAAGAATGATTGATTTGCTTTAATCATGGTTGTCATCGACTCCTAACCGTGTGCAAAGCCTCCTAAAAATACGGCTCTCAACCTTAAAATAAAATCCTTTCAGACTCCCATCACGCCCTCATCAATCCAATGATATGCCTTGCTCCCTGGCATTACTCCTCTCCTCCGCCGCTCTCTAAAAAGTGTCTCAGGCAGACAATAATGAGAGCAATGAATAGTGCTGTGTGTCAGGAACTAACGCTGGCTCTGAGTGCTAAATTGGCTGTGGTGTGTCCAGGGAGCAGGAAAAGGCCTGCAAAAGGAGGGGGTCACCTGCGCTTCGGGCTGCACTGACCTCTACAGCAGCCTGCACCTGCTACAGCCGCATGAGCACCCGGACCAATGAATCTGCTCTCCAGTTCATTCAGCTGTACAAGTATTGTGTCAAATCTTGCAAAGGATGGTCGCTGAAGGTCATTGTAATTTGCCATGTGGACATTATCCATCCATGTTTCTTTAACAGAGTGCAAAGAAAACTTTACATACTGAGCTGAATTATATTAAAATACGCGTTTTATTTTAGTTAGGAGTTTCATATAAGTGCATACAATAGCATCAGAAAGTCTAAACAGCCCCAAACAACAACGTAAATCACACAAATGATTGAAATAAATGCCTGCTAATAGCTTGTAATCCTCTCACACTTGTAAAGCCCCCAAACGTAATTAGCCGAATGAAAGGTAATGTCCCAGCAGTATTGCCCCCACATCTCACCCACTTCCTTCATTAAATTACAGTCAGATGTTGGGCGAAGCTGGAAAAAAAAAAAAAAAAAGCCTTCTGTTTCCTCTGCCAAGACACTGTAAGCCACATGACTGCGGG